CATTCTTTATTTAGCTGAACATCTGGCATTTTTGGAAATACAAGATGCTTTGGAATATCCAATCATGCATGGTATAAATATAGCGAGGGTATTAAATGATATCCCAATCATGATCTTTCTTTTGGATTTCGCGTGCATGCAGTCCGAAGAATGATGACGTTGCAGATTTCTTTTGGATTTCACGTGCATGCATGCGCGCAGCAATCCAGAAATTAATGGTGGCGCCCAAGTCCGAGGAATGATGACGTTGCGGGATTAGTGACATTTCGCGCGTGTGAGGTTAGGTTTTGCATTTTGCTTCGTACTCGCGCTCGCATTGCGCTCCCACTCGCGATCACGCTCACATTTGCGCTAATCTACCTTCTCTACAGGTTTCTCGTGTGCATCGGCGTCCACTCGCGCTTGCATCACACTCACGCTCGCATCGCGCTCGTGTGCATCGGCGTCCACTTCAAGACACACCCAGTTTGTAACTTCGCCGCCAACTCCGCCGCCCACTCCGCCACCCACACGCAGCCCACTTGGCGTCCCGGGAGATTTCAGCGCCACTCTCCAACTGTAAGTGGCAGAGTAGCCTTGCTGCTACGATCCGCTGCACACACAGTGCACATTCGCCAGCGAGTCCGGCCTCGATTGTCACGCCTCCATTCGGCTTCAAATGGTAAATCTTTTAGGCCAAGTAGAAAATGGCATGAGGCCACATGCCATTCAGTAGCAACATTGGCATGCACCGATTGGGCTCTCGAGTGCAGTCCGGTTACAGATGGCGTGTAGCCTCACGCCATCTTAGGATGCAGCCTCAAGACATCTGATGCAGTGGTGAATGGCGTGTGGCCTCACGTTATTTCCAGCTGCTAGCTTTTCATCTGTCAACTTTAATTGTTGTGCATTTCTGAACAGGCGAGGAATTGCGTTCTTCTTCTAGCCACTGTCAATGTGGATGCAGAGAAAGGGGAGGAGCTCACCAGTTGGACTTTCGGGATGGAAGGCGAGGATCTGAGGTGTACAACACAGATGGTGGGAGAAAAGAATGCATGAGGATCCTCATCCAAGTGACAGACACTCCATGCAGTTCCATGCAAGAATATGGACTGGCACTTGTGGTAGAGACAGCGTCCGCCTTCAAGATCCACCTTGCACATCCTAGCGGCTTCCCGGAGGGGGGCAGCGGCTATGAGGAATTCCTAGAGGGAGCTAGGGAGAGGTTGTCCAGGAGGCCCACAATTTCAAAGACGCTGCGGGTCTATGAAGATCACATGGAATCCACGGACCTCACCTACGGCGATGTTCAAAAACTATATTCCAACATTGAGCCGTTGAGAGTGACTTCAGTTCGCGAAGCGAAGGGGAAGGGGGTCGATCTGGAAACTACCCCGAAGCAGAAAAGGGTGGTCAAGCTCAAGCCGATGTCCAACTCTCCTGCTCCAAAAAAGAAGCTACTCGGTGATGCCATTGCCTCGGGTTCGAACACTACACCCACCAAAGCCACAAAAACCAAGACAAGGACGTGCACTAGCAACTAGCGCCTGGCAGGTAAGCCTCGTTGCATATGGCATAGCATGTGGCCTCACGCCATTTCCATTGCAGGAATTCTCGAGTCTTCTCTCGAAAACACTGGGGGTCAATGACACACTCAGCATCCATAACATTCTACTCGCGACAAAAGTTGTTTTTGACAAATGGGTAGATGTGCTGAGGAGGTACCATGATGGGGAGTTGCTAAACTCAATGGGTGTGGACGACGGCCGGAAGCCCAATGATTTGAAGCTCAACGCCTTGCGTTTCTCACGGTCTCTAGACGACGACGACCTTTTGACAGTGGCTAATGCTCTTCTACGTGGTGAGGTAGTCTTCAACAAGACCAAAATGACTCCCGGCCACATTGTGACATACGAGGACTTGTGCATGACTCTGAGAGCTCGTGCGCTATTGAAGGATTGGATCTTCGAGCAAGTGGCCGTGGAGAGGGTGAGCATCGACACCACGCAAGAGATGATGGAAGAGCTGGAGTTGTCAAATGAAGACATCGATGAGTATGTGAAGGGGGCCCCCAAGTTCATCGATCTGCTGCGGGATGCCACGAAAAGTAAAGCTGAGAAGTTGGATCAGTATCCAAATTTCATTAAGAGGGATGTCGACTGCCGGCTTCAGAAACAACTCGACCCCGCAGCAGAGGCCTATCAAGAACCTTACCGAGTATATGTGAATTCGGATGAGGATCAAAGGAGGAGGAGCATCATTTCCCGCGGAGATGAGCAAGTCAAGAACATCTTTTGTGTGATGGACTTCACAAACGAGGAGATCACTCATGCAGACGAAGTTAGCTCCATCATTGACTTAATGGTGGGACTTGCGGAGGTGGAATCTTCAGTCCACTATATGATCTACGACTCCGAATCCTATCACAAGTTCTGGAAGGCCTTGAACGAGGTGAAGGCTCGGTTGAAAGGCAAGGAGATGCAGGAGATCCATGGGATAATGGTTAAGAAGACGATATTGACAAATGTCCGCATCTTCACACTCGCCCTTGTTATTGGTCCAGCAGCAGAGTGGGACTGGAGTGACTTCCCAGCTTCGTTCGACAAGGCCGATCGAATTGATCTGAGGGAGGTCAATTTACCCGTGCCTGAGGAACTGAAGACGGCTATGGAGCTTTCAAATCCAGAGAAAGCTCCAGGTGCAGCAGGTGCAGCATGGGAAATGCTCAGCTGGGTCTTCAACGCAATAGCGGGTGGGTCACCTGCTTCCGACTCCAAGGGCAAATGCGTTGTCGAGTACAACTGCGGCGGACTATTCTTTCAAGCCGCACTACTCAAGGGTGTCCCGTGTGTTGCGGTGACAAACTCCATTGAAGAGGTGACTTCAATGGAACATATAATTATAGTTGCCAAAGAAAAACAGTATCTTCTCTGCGAACCTGGTGAATACGCACTTTAAGTTTAAATGTTATCTCACAAGCTCTATATGCAGAAGTGTGGCCACCCCCAGATGCTGAAACGGCGTTAACAGCTACTGTTGAAGATACCCATGTTGGGCCGAGCTCACAACCTGCACAAAGTAAGGTCACGTGAGGCCTCATGCCATTTTGATTATAGATCGTTGTGAATATTCAGACACGAGGACTGAAAAGCACACTAGTGGTGCGTCGAAGAAGGACCGTATGTTCTGGGGGACCTTGCAAAACGGCTTGGAGCGATGGTGATAGAGAACAGGCCAGTCCAGGAGGTGGCTGCAGAAATCAACCAAATGGTAGATGGAACGGTATATCAGAAGCCATTTGATCGGACAGACACCAGTCATCATTTATGGCATGTATATTGTCCAGCCAAGCACTATCCGCATCTCCATAATCTGCTCAACCGGATGGGTTCTTCAACCACTGAACATGAGCGTGGACGTATTAAAGAAGAGATGGCATTACTATTGGGTTTAAATTCTGATAGTGTGGAGAGTGATGAAATTCCAAGATTATTGTATAGGTGTTGGAGGCAAAAAATAACAGTTTGAGATGGCATGTATTTATTTAAAAATGTAACTTATTATTGCATGGGGTTCCATGCCATTGTATTAATATTAAAAGACAATTCTTTGAGAGGATTTGCATTATACTAGAAGTGTTACAGCATGTTATTGGAAGTCTACGAAGTTGTTTTATTAATAAGGGGAAAGTAAAGATTGAATGGGGACTTGGGCTCCACCTAGACTCGGAGCAACTGAGCCAATATTAAAAGGATGGAAAGAAATTGGATGACGATGACAAGGAGAAGAGAGAGGTGAAGTAGTGGCAGGGGGAGGAGAAGTGATTGAGTAGACATTTCCTTGTTTAAAATACAATGGCATGTGCCTCAATGCAGTTGAATTTTGTTATATTTATATACTATATAAAGGTTTGGAAACTTTATTTTACAAGTGGGATAATAACAATTCCCACTTTAACGAAATAGAGCTTCTTTTCTTTTCCTTTTAGCTGTGGGTTCTCTAATCTAGACCATTTCCAATTAAGAACCATATAAAATATTTAATTTTCTTTTATGCTAATGACCTATTATACAATAGTAACAAGTTTCCCTCTGAAGGATAAATTTGATTATATGGATAGCTTGTTTCTTAAAAGATTGATTTAGGCTAACCAGTGTAAGAGAAAGAATTCAAAAGATTTTCTAAGAAAATGTAATATATTTTTTATAATTTATAGTATATAAATATAAATTATTAAAGAAAACCAAGCAGAACACAAAAAAAATATTTTTTTATTTTGTAAGATTTAAACTTATCCTATTAAAATTTACAACAATAAAGAAATTTAAACTAAGAAAATAATTAGTTTTTGGCTTGTTTATTTGGATATTTTCTAGAACATGCTAAAATATTCTACTAGCTATATGTTTCAAGATAGTTTTATAGCAATTCAATAAAGTGGAAAACATGAAAGAGTTGGAATTGAAACTTACATTATGCATGCTAGAGTAATCTTGTAAATATGAGATTAAAAAAAATTTATTTCTAACTTTGATTAATATTTAGAAAAGACAAATAATGCTTCTTGCAATGCACACTAATTTATTTCAATATAATAGAAGTTTATTTGATGGTATAAAAAGTTGTATATGTCATAAGTGTGTTTATGGAAATATAAAAATCAAAAGAATGGGAGAACTGTATTGCATACTCTAAGTACAAAAGTATAGAAACTTTACTTTTTAACAAGTTTTGTTTTGTATAGAAGTCTCTCATGTGCATTAAAACGAATTGTAGTAAAAAATATTTTAAAATTATAAATTAAAATTAAGGTGTGATTTTAAGGAATTACATTGAATTGTTAGGTTTTGTCAAATGCTAGTATTAGATGTGATGTAAGACAGTATTATGCCAAATTAAAACTTGTCGTTATGTAACTTTACCAAGGTATATTAGCAGCTGTATATACTACATACAGCAATGTCTACATATTATACCCAGGTATTGGGCATTGTTTTACCAAAACCTTGCATGGTGCCAAATGACCCTTAAAAACATGTAGCACAAATGCTACATACAATGTACTAACTTAGTGGCACTAAGTTCTGCAATGTTTAGCTCTTCGCGTCTATGTGTGACATGCCTGTAGAGCATGTCTGAAGCAATGGAGACGATGCTCCTCTCCTTCGTTATCGCTCACACTAGATCGACGTGGTTGGACGTTTCCAGATGCCCCAGCGAAGATAGATCCCTGACCAGACTTCCACGCAATTGGCACCCTTGAGAGCCTGTGGTGCTGATCAGATCCATGGCATTCTGCGCGATCGGCTCCTGGTGCCACTGGTCCGTCTTAGCCTTCCAGTAATTCTTTGAAACTCCAGCCGATGTAAGAAAAAACGTATTAATTAGCTCCGCTTTCGAATCGACAATATAAAGAAGCCCTTCTCTATACATACACGAATCTCTTCAAGAACGCGCACGCTCTGCACGAAAGAAACACCACCCGGAGTTTAAACAGAGAAGAAAGGACGAGTTGATAGCAAACTTACGCCATTCTTGAAGAGACTTTCGGTGAGCGGAGTTGACACTGATCTTTGGGCGGTGTCGCTTGATCAGACTCTCGCCTTCCTTCCAATCGTCCACCACGCCCAGTGCCACCAGCAGCGCACACATAACAGCCACACTACGCCCATGACCTGTTCACCAACAAGAAGCATCCAAATCCTCAAAATCCTGCCAGCCAAGAGCACAAATCCAAATGCACGTAGATAAAAATCCGAGGAAGAGAGAGGAAAAGATCATCAATGCTGAAATAGAAGACGAACAACATGCCAATAAAAAAAATGCTGAAAGAAGACAATCAAAACATTGCTTTCGACTGTATCAACCTGGATTGTAATCGCTAAACAAAGTAAGAAGAAGAAAACCAAGAAGAACGAAGTCTAGGTACTTGGATGGAGAGAAGAAAGAGTGCTATCAAATCTACTTGGATTGAGAGAAGAAAGAGTGCTATCAAATCTACTTGGATGGAGAGAAGAAAGAGTGATCAAATCTACTTGGATGGAGAGAAGAAAGAGTGCTATCAAATCTACTTGGATGGAAAGCTTACCTTTGGCACAGTGGATGAAAACAGGATGGCTCTGGGAGCGCTGGACGAGAGCCCAGCGCACGGCTAGCTCAATGCTCTCTGGCGATAGCGCTCTGGTATCCCAGGCCGGGACGCACAGATAGGGAAGCTCCAATCCCACCGTCCTGGGCAGCTCGTTGGTGCAATCCAAAATCGCGGGATTGCCCGGAGGGATGTGCTCGCGCTGGAACGGCCACGCGCCCACGAACAATCCATCGCAAACCTCCGTGTAGGTGGCCTCGAGCCCCGCGCGCCGGCGGAATCGGACGTAGAGCCGCGTACCGGCGAGGTAGGGATAGAAGAGGAAAGAGCTCCAGATCGGGAAGGAGCCGCGCGAGGATTTGGCGAGGATGCGCGGATTATCGATGCGCGGGTGGGAGAAGAGCGCTACAGTGAATCCGATGAGCGACGTGTGGAGGAGAGGGAGGAGGAAGATCCGGTTGCTGACGACGCCGAGCAATGCCGCCCCCACCGCGAGGATGAGCGCCGCGGGAATGCCCACCGCTAGTGAAAGTCCCATGAGCCCAAGAACCCTAAAACCAGCCTAACTTTACTCTTTAGAAGTATATACTTTATTTCTAGGGTTCTTCGAAGAACTTTAGTTTTAGGGTTCTTCGGAGAACTTAGAAGTATATTTTAAATCACCTGTACAAGTAACTTCTTACAAAGCAAAGTAGGATTCGAGGTTCTTCCTTCTGCGAATTTCACTTAGCGCTACAAGGTTAGCTCATCACAACAAAAAAGCTTCTCCGGATCACTCTAGCTCGCTTAAAAGATATCGATCGACGAATCTTTACCTTTGGCGAGGACAATCACGCTTACTCGAGAACTTGCACGGACGCTGGGTCCTTGGGGCCACAGCCATCCATGAGCGACAGTGGTGTATTATACACGACCCACCATTTGCGTACGAGCTCTTTCACGTCCTCACGATCCATGTTTGCGCCCTCTCCGGTGTAAGCCCAAGGCTTGGATCCCTGTCGCCACCGAGTAAAAGTTTTCAATCGATTCTCCAAGCTTGAAGGAAGCTTTCGAGCTAGACAAGAACTTAGAAACTCTGAAACTTACCGTAGCGCAGTAGTGGATCACTTTGGTCTTGGCCAGGTTGACGTTCTCGGGGTGCCTCCACAGCATCGCCAGCACCAAGTTATACGCGTTTGGAACCGGCCGGAAGGCGTCCTGGAAGAACAAGTTGAGGAAATCCTGCCATAGAGCAGCCAGTGGTTTTTCGAGAGAAAGTTTTGGAAGCTTGAGTTTTACCTGTTCTGCGAATGGTGTGGGGGGATTCTTGGCCAGGGCTTCCATCATCCGGCCGAAAGTCTTGCTACTCGGCTCGAAGACGAACATCCCGGCATTGAAGTACGGCTTTGGGGGCTCGCCGAGGGCGAAGTTCCAGGGGACTCGGTCGGGGCACTGCTGGCAGTAGCCGAGCTTGAACTGGGGAGTGTGGCTCCACGTCTTCTCGCAGAAGCAGTCTTTCACGGCGGTGAAGGATCCGGGCGGCGAGAGATCGAAGAGCTCGTCGATGTTCTCAAAAACCATCATGTCCGCGTCGAGATACAAGAGCTGATCGTAGTCCTCGAACTGGACAAGAAAGTACGCCACAAATAAAAAGGGAGAGAAGAGAGCGAACAAAGAAAACCAAGAACGCGCAAGAACACAAGCAGCGACACGAATCCGATCGAAAGACGACGGCTTTGAGGAACCCAGTAGCGAATCCGTGGCGGAAAAGAGAGAGCTCACTCACCTCCCACATCCGGAGCTTGGAGTAATTGATGACATAGTGGGGCATCGCGAAGGCGCAGACTCCCGGCGGCGGGAGAACCGGCTGGATGGATCGCACATTGCAGCCGTGCGCGAGGAGGAGATCGGTGTGGCGGCGCGGGACATCCGGAAGAACACTGACGACGAGCTCGTATCTCGAGTCGACGAGGCGGAGGCTCTTGGAGAGGCCGATCACTCCTTTGGTGTAATCGCCATCGCCGGCGAGGAAGGTGACAAAGGCCCGCCGCTTCTCTTCGCCTTGTTGAGGCATCACACAGGGAGGAGAAAAAATAACGAAGGAGGAGAATTTGTAAGGTATCTTCTATGGATCTTTACTGATTCCGGTGATCTAATCGGAATGGACAGCTGGCAGGCTTTGGGTTAATTATATTCCCGGAGAATCTAGCAGCATCTATTTCTTTTGCCCTGTCGGATATCTGCCAAGTGGCCCTAGATAGTAATCTTGGTTACGATGTACTTTATTATTTTTTATAATTTTTTATCGATGTTTGTTTTGAGCTTGCTACCAGATGGAGATTATTTGAAAAATATAAACTCACATCTCTCGTTTGCATGCTAGAATTAAGCCCAGTTGTAGTGGCAATTTTTTGTAAAAAGTAAGGATGCACTAAAGAGTGAAAATTCAAAGCAATTGTTACTTTTTTTATATTTTGACAGTTAGAGGAAATACAGAAAGTAAGGCTTTTAAATCTTGTCTTTTATGACCAAGAGAGTACATATATTTAAATTATAAATCAAATAGGAGCTATTATTAACATATAAACATATAAATGTTTTTATTTGCTGAAGTATTTTCTATTTATTGCACCCATACAATGATTCTAGTGATTATGCTTTTGCTAATACTAATTCCTTTGGAGGTAATTAATTTTAACTTGTTCATTTACAGGAGTGCTTTTGAAATTTTTACAAAGTTTTAACAGGCTGGACAGTTTTCAAAGACGTGTTATAACGTAAGACTGTGGTACCATGGGGAGCTGTGGGCAAACTGTGAGCCTTCTGGGCAATCAAGCAAAATTCCTCTAGACAACTATGTATCCAATGACAATGGCGAGATGGTTGTGCCTGGGAATGGTTTCTCCCAATACTGTTATCTCTTCCAAATTTTTGACATAAACACTAATAATCCTGAGGATGCTCTGAGGCCTCCAAAAGGACTTGGAGCTTGGTGCAAGAATGAGCACAACAAGGATGAGTGGTCTAGTATTGTCCTTGACGACTACATAGAAAACATTGACGGAAATATCCAATGGACTGGCCCAATCTAACATAGAACAAGTGAGTGCTTTTTATTCACTAACACACCATCTAAGTACTAACGCCTAGCGAAATTATAATATTAATAGATATAAAAGTAACTAAATAGTGAATATATGACCAATTGTAAAAGCGAGCATAAATAGAGAATATTCTCACTGCCGAAATTAGGTAAAGCACGAGATAATTTTTCAAATTCAAATTGTGCCCTGTTTTTAGGGTTCTTGCGAGAAGAATGAGCAATGGCCGCTGCCAATGCTGCCGCCGCCGCCGCCGCATTCTCTACACCGCGCCACCGGCGACGCGAGCGCTCAGGTGGGTTCCCAGAACCGCAGCTCAGCTCTACTTTCCTCCCCTCGCGCTTCCATTTCCAGCGTGAAAACACACACGAGCAGCAGCAATGCGGCGGCGATGGCCAACGTCGAAAGCCGCCGCTCGTCCGCGCGGAGGTCTCGACGGTGGTGCGCAAGCCCCGCAGCGGCGTCTTCAAGAAGCCCACCATGATCGTGGACGCCATCACGGTGGAGAAGGGCAAGTACGGCTACGAGATCGAGTCGTGCATCAACTCGCTGAGCCAGCTCCCGCCGCGCGGAAGCGTGACGCGCTGCATGGACCTCTACCGCAGCAAGCTCACGATGCAGGACTTCTCGCTCATCTTCCGCGAGTTCGCGGCGCGCAGCGACTGGCACCGAGCGCTCCGGCTCTTCAAGTACATGCAGCGCCAGCAGTGGTGCAAGCCCACCGAGCACATCTACACCATCATGATCGGGATCATGGGCCGCGAGGGGCTGCTCGAGAAGTGCTCGGAGATCTTCGAGGACATGCCGGAGAACGACGTCAAGTGGAACGTCTACGCTTTCACGGCCTTGATCAATGCTTACGGACGAAACGGGCAGTATGAAGCATCGCTCCATCTCCTGGCCAGGATGAAGAAGGAGCAAGTGGAGCCGAATCTCATCACTTACAACACGGTTCTAAACGCTTGCTCGAAAGGTGGCCTCGACTGGGAGGGACTGCTCAATCTCTTCGCGCAGATGCGGCACGAAGGCATCCAGCCGGATCTTATCACGTACAACACGCTCCTCTCGGCGTGTTCTTCGCGGGGTCTCGTGGAGCAAGCCGCGATGGTGTTCAAGACGATGAACGAGTCCGGAGTGGTGGCCGACGCCGTGACTTACAAGTCCCTCGTCGACACCTTTGCGGGATCCAACCAGCTGGGCCGAGTCGAGGAGCTCCTCCGGGAGATGGAGGACGAAGGCAATCCTCCCGACATCGCTGGATACAACTCTTTGATCGAAGCTTACGCCGACGCCGGGAACGTCCACGGCGCCGCTGGAGTGTTCAAGCAGATGCAGCGAGGCGGCTGCGCTCCCGACGTCGAGACTTACTCCACGCTCCTCCGGATCTACGGTAACCAGGGATGCTTCGAGCAAGTTCGCTCGCTCTTCTCGGACATGAAAGATCTCTCGACGCCACCCACGGTGGCGACTTACAACTCGCTCATACAAGTGTTTGGCGAGGGTGGTTACTTCCAGGAGTCGATCAATCTCTTCCACGACATGGTGGACAGTGGAGTGAAGCCGGACGATGCTACGTACTCGGCATTGCTCTCGGTTTGTGGGAGGGGAGGACTTACGAGAGAGGCCGCGAAGATCCATCAACACATGCTCACGAACGAGTCCACACCGAGCTTGGAGGCCTCGGCCGGGCTGATAAGCTCGTATGGAAAGATGGCCATGTACAAGGACGCGCTGGTTTCGTATTATAGGATCCGGGAGGCCGGGCTGGATCCACAGGTCTCGGCTTACGACGCTCTCATCCAAGGCTACGCGAAAGGTGGTCTTTACGTGGAAGCGGGGTCTACGCTCTACGCGATGAACAAGGCCGGGTTCCAAGCTCCGGTGTCCAGCGTGAACTCGGTTATGGAGGCTTACAGCAAGGTCGGGCTCCACGACGAGGCTCTGGAGTTTTTCTCCGAGTTGCAGCAAAAGGAGGGGAGTGAAGTGGACGAGAGGACGCACGAGACGCTGCTGGGGGTTTACTGCGATATGGGATTGCTCGAGGAGGCCAAGGAGGAGTTTGTCATCATCAAGGAGACGAGCAAAGTTCCCGGCGCTCGGGTCTACTGCTTGCTGCTCTCGCTGTGTGTGAGGCGAAGCAAGTAAGTTTTCTTCATCCTTCTTTGAGAGTTTTCGTGTTTGTTTCCTTGTTTGTTATGCTTGTTGATAGATCGTAGATGGTTTCTTGTTTGTCTTGCTTGTTTCTTCTAGCGAGTGTGATGGATCTTTGTTCTTTGCAGATGGGACTACGCAACTCAGCTCCTAGACGAGATGATCGCGGCCGGGGGCCTCCACCAAGTAGTCGTGGGGATTGTGCGTGGCACTTACGATGCCGACTTTAGCTGGCAAGTCGTGGAGTACGCTTTCGACGGCCTCAAGCTCCGGGACATGGAAGAAAGCATGGACTTCTACAACGCACTCGTCGAGCTCCTCGTCTACTGCAACCAAAAGGCTCGGGCCGCCCGAGTTCTCGCCGATGCAATGCAGCGAGGAGCCTTCCCCGAGGCGTTCATCAAAACTCGTCGCGTTTGGTCCGTGAACGTCCACAGGTAAGTGTTTTCCTCTCTAGTTTGTCTACCGGGGTTGATCTTCTCTTTGTTGCAGGATGTCCGCCGGTGCCACCGTCACTGCGCTGTCGACGTGGTTTAACGACTTGCAAGAATGCGAGAAGTTGCCTTTCATGACTTCCATCGTTGTCTCGTAAGTTTTCGCTCTTCGCAAGCTTTGAGATCATAGCTTTTCTCTCGTTTACCAGGTGTGGTGATATCGAAGATCACAGGAAAGTGGAGGACTTACCAGTAGCGAAAGTGGTGCAAGCGTTCCTCAAACACTACGCGGCGCCACTCGAGACGGCGTCCTGGAACGAAGGAAGGATAGTTTGCAAAGGCGAGGCGTTAAAGCCGTGGCTCTCGAGCATGCCTTCCTTCAGCGAGACTTACGTGAGAAACGAGCCTCTTCCGGCTCAACTAACAAAGCAGCTAGCGCAGTCCAAAGTTCCTTCTCTCAAATAGCTCTTTTGTGTACAGCGAAAGGAAGAAAGCGGCCATATACAAAACAAAAGAATAGAGAGACTCCTTCGATTTAAACCAAGTGTGTATGACAAACTTCTTTCTTTCTTTCTTCTTCCACTTTCTCTTTGTCTTCGAAAGCTTTTCCCTGTATTTCTTCTTCCACTTTTCTCTTTGTCTTCGAAAGCTTTTCCCTGTAGGGGGGCCAGTCTCTAATCTTATCCCTTCACTTTTTCTCGCTTTGGCTAGCGAGAGCTCCTCGAGCATAGACTTTCTTTTTTGCCTCGATCGAGATCTTCTTCCAGCCCCGAGAACTTTTCCCTGTGCAGCCTCTCGACTTTTCAGACTGGTAAAAACTAGCGTACCTTGCGAGCTGTTGCTATATACAACTTTGGCGACAATCCCCCGGAAACTTGTCGTTGAGGGGGACAAAAATTTCTCCGTCCGCCGCTAATCCGAGAAAAGTGGCAGCTCTTCCGCTGCCGCTTCTCCTTCTGCGTGCAACACCTCCGTTTCATACGACCCCAGCTGGTCCTCGTCGAAATAGTTGTAGCTCGTGTCGTTGTAGCTGCCGCTTGGATCGACCGGACTGTGAGCTCCCACCCCCTTCTCACATATGCACGCCGCCGGATTCTCATGAAACTCTCCTCTTCCCTGCTTCATCTCGTTCGGCTCTCCCATGAAGCCTTTCTGGAACGTTTTCACTTTAGCCGCAAAAGCATCCCAAGGCATTTCGTGCCGAGCGAGGAAGAGGGACCCCAGTTTTTTCGTGTTTGGCCTGATCGTCCTCTTGTGCCCGTAGTAGCGCCTGTAAAACAGAAAAGAAAGCTTCGTGAGAAAAAGAGGGACCACCTAGCACGTAGTTGACATACCTCCGGCCAGCTAGTATACGAGCCATGTTGCCATTGTTGTTGGTGACGAACACGTTGCTCTCGTCCGAGACGATGTAGTCCAGCGCCGCCATTCTCGACGAGTAGTGCAAGAAAGGCTGGAGCTCCTCCTTGGTGGTCAGCGTTTCCTTGGTGAAGTAGTTCGGAAACAATGCCTTGAGCGGTGCCAGTGACTCCTCTCCACCATAAACTTCTCCTGACGCGACGTAGAGGTAGGAATCGTTGCCAAAGCCCAAGGCCCTGAGCATCAGGCCGACTTCTTTGGGTGTTAGCGGGCACTTTCCGTTTCTCCGCTCCCTTTCCGGGCTTCGGACGTGCAAAGTCTTCCATCGCTTACGAATCGCTCCGAGTTCTTTGATCTCTTTGTCACCTCCCCCGTAGTAGCAACCGGAAAAAGCTAGCATATCAGATCCGTATCTGCATACATCAGAGGCTTTCATGAATGACAACACCGCTAAAAACAAAACATCAACCTCACCTCAAATGCAAGGCAATGTAGCGTTTGCTCATCTGTCTCATCCGGCTTACAAGGCTGTTTCCCATATTCAATATCTCAGGAGTGAACTGTAAGGCCCTGTAGTTCACCCGACATCTCAATCTTTGCAGCTCTGGCTCAAGTTTGTTGGCGAGTCTATAATCAAATTTGGTCAGCCGCAGCACCTAACAGTCAAGTATTAGCCAAAGGATCTCTGGTTGGAGGCAAGTCTTGCGCCGTACCTTCTTCTTCTGCAAAATCGGGAGGATTTTGCTCTGATAATATTGCGGTGTACATTTTCGCGGGACACGCATCGACGTGAGATGATTTCGCTTCAAATACTTTGATCTCGCTGCTGCCGGCAATTCTTTGACAACGGAAACATCGGACGTGAGCGACTTGATGAACCAGTCGACGTCGAATATGTCACTGAAGTTGCTGTTCAAACCCAAGCAATTGGTTAAGAGAGTGAATATGGATTCACGAATAAGCTACCTGTTGTCCTTCCAGTATGATTTGTGATCCAATCCTGGGACCACTAATGTAGCATTCAAGAGCCTGGCGGCAACCACGGCGTCTGTTATCTGCACGGCAAGTTAGCAATGAGCGAACTCTTAATCGCAAGCCACACGGCCTACCCCAGTCCGTTGTTGGTTTAAGCCTCCACTCGCTTCAATCATCAGATACCCATTAGCTTTGGACGGAAATCCAACACCTGGAACGAGAGATGAGAAAAGTTGGTCGACTTTGGTAGTGGAAGAAAAGCAACGAGCAAAAAAATATATATGAAGAAGAAGAACAAGAAGATTCTTAGTTCGAGTTTTTTTTCTTGCCTGAAAATGAAAATTCTTCCCTCGGCTCGCTGCACCCGTAGAAAAATTTCGCAGACGGCGACTCCCAAATGCTGTCGGACGAAATATCGCCCTCGCTCTGCAAGAGTTTTCCCAAAAGCTCTATAAAATGGTGGTTTGATGTCACGTCTTACCGGCACATCTTGCAAATCCTGCGATCGTGCGAGCATGGGGTGGACGGTCCCTCGCTTCTGTCAAAGAGAAAAAAGCTAGATCGATCGAGCGAGAAGAGCACAAAGAGAACACAGAAAAGATGAGCGAGGAGGGAATTTTTACCAATTGTATGAAGGGTCCCGAGTGGCGGTCAAGATCATGCACGAGCATCGAAAGAAACGCCAGACCCAGCAGCGCCGAGGCGCAAATCATCACCAATGTGGAGATCGCCGCCGCTGGCAAGGGAGACATCCTAGACGAGGAGGAGGATTTCGGCTGCTTGGCCATCAAGACGAGATACGCGTAACCCCTGCTCCGGCACACCCATGGCAGCCTCACCCCAAGAATCATCATCCCGCTAGATTCCTGGCCCCGATTCCCATCTCACACTCCGCATGCTCGATCCCGCCACATAGCAAATAGCGCGATAAAGAACAGCAATTCTTCCCTGGGAGCTCGGCGATCGCGGCGCCAAAGCCCTATCGACTGCTCGGCGCGATTGAAGCCTAATCTCTCGGCGGTGGATTCTAGGCGATGGGGAAGAGCACGGAAAGATCCTGCATTGGTCGAGAGATTCTTGCGACCGCGCGCGAGAGAGGAGACAAGAGATCGATCGATTGGGCGGCTCCTCGCCCGCGGCAACGGCAGCTCCCCGTGTTGTGGCTATTTCTAACAGAGAGAACCCTTGAATCCAAAATAAAATAGGATAACACCTCCCCCATATATCGAAAATAGTCGTAGACATACGAGAAAACTAGGGTTTAGCCTTTTCCCCATACACCGTATAGCGCACGCTTTTTTAATCCTTTTTCTCTGGGCAAAATGCTTGCATGATTTCTTTTCTTTTCTTCTTACCGTGGAAGAAATAAAAGCGCGAAGGGAACGTTAAGCTTTAACTTTGGGCCCGCTTTTTCACCAACGGCCCTGTGTACGTACAAATTCTTCCAGAGAATATTCACATGCAAACCATACCAAACGATTAGCTGAGTCCATATCATGCAAAGATCATGGCATGTCAGTACATTTTAATCATCTAGCTTGGTCAACTCCTAAGCTTGTTTAAACTGACACGTCAAGATATTTTAGTGTAATTACGTTATATATGCATATTTTGAATACTTTTGTGCGCAACTGAAAAGTATATTATTACATGTCATTTGGTGCTTATATATATTCTATAGGATATAGAATTTACTAAGTGGCACATTTGAATTTAAAAGGTTGTATCTTAAGATTTTTCTTGGAGGATTAGGTGTATTTGATTAGTAAAGAGACTTTGTCAAACATGATCTTTATTCTCCTATAGCAATGTGGGAATTTTTACTTAGCAAAGTCTTGTAAGACACATCTTGGACAATTGCTCTTTAAAACAATTAGAGATATAAAAACACATATCTAAAATTTTTACTTATCATTTTCTACATATTAAAGACAAAAGGATTAAATATGCAACAATTAAATTCAGCTCACATGTCGATTTAGATACTTAAATTACAGATCAAAGTGTGTTGATTATGACTCTATCTAACCACACTATCATCAATGAAAAATTAATAAATTAATTTTGATGAGAAATTAAATTCCTCTTAAAGTTTTTCTCTATATTTATATATTTAATAATAGAGTTAATAAGTATTAGAATCTATGAGTGCATGGAGCACTTAGATCTAGCAAATATATATAAAGGTTTCAGTATATTAAGTATATTATAGATTTATGATGAATATCCAAAGCCAAAAAATTAAGAAAAATGATTATATACTTAATAAGAAGTATAATAATGACTAGATAATTAAAAAATAAAAATTTATAATTTTAAGAAAAAGTTTAAATGACACTATAAGGTCCAAGTGTATGGATATAATACTATATGCCAATATTAGCATAATGAGATTTTGATAACTATTGGATTGGTTTCAATCTCAACCAATCACTTCTATATATAAGTTAAGGTTTTTAAACTAATTGATATGCACATTTCTGTATTCCATTTCTATATTCACATTGGTGGAGGTGAAAAACAATTTTGATGGTCCTTGAAGAGTGCTTGAATTTGGGATTTTGGTTTATATTTAGCTTTTGCATCATCTAAATCTCCCTTTCTTTATAGCTTTTTGAATTTTTTCTTTTTTGTTTTTTTCCTTTTTGTTCATCTTCATGGTAAAGTAGTAGCCTCCTCCTCCTTTGACTCTAGACTAGTAATTGGTGCAATTGCTTGATAATTAGACAATTAGACTTAGTTGATGGTGGCATTCATAGTGTATGGTACAACTCCTTTTACTTTTATTATCAATTTTCGTGTTTGGCCGGAGTTCTTCCATGGGAATTAATTTGTACTATTGATTCAATCACTTTACACTGATTGCCATATATCATTGTTGGGATGATGTTCAGTGTTTATGTGAGTTTCCCAAATGTCTTTAAGAGATAGCACTGTAGTGGTATAATGGTTTGAGCATAGCCATTAGTGTGGATTGGAGCATTTTTATGAAATTTGGATATGATAACAATTGTGATAATACCTTTCAACAATTAAATTGTTTTCGTCAAGGGCTATTTGAGTCAATGATGCAATTTAGCATTTGTTTCCAATGCCTCTTGCTTCATGTGAAGCTAAATATATTGGAGCATACCTCTTGCTTCATGTGAAGCTAAATATATTAGAGCAGATCAAGTTGGGAATGTTGTAGCCAGCACTTCATCAATATCTTGTTAAACTTATGCATATATCCTTGACAATATTGTT